CTTAATGATGAAATAACCTATTTCCTAATATGACAAAATCTATAACCAGACTTCTCCTGAATTTGAATTATATTTCAAATTACTTTTTTGTTTTTTGATTTCGCAATATCCCAATTTTTGATTTCGACTTTACACCCTATTTTTTCTGGCTTTTTTAATTGCTTTGAAAAATTTTTGCTTTTAGTATGCAAAAACAGATAGCTCAAATTTAATTTTTAATTGAAAAAACCATAGGTTAAGCGGAATTAACGATGGAAAACTCAAAACTTTAGAGAAATAAAAGCTATGGATGAAAATCTATGAAATCTCATGATAAAACAAATGATAGTAATTTTGGGTGTTTAACCCGTAATCCTTATGCTACACAATTTTCCGACATTTAAAAAAACAACTCAACTCTACTTTCACACAAATCATAAAATTTATATTGAACTGCTAATTGAATTTAGTTATTAAAACAAAAAAACTGGATGCAAAATTTTCCTTCTCAAATTAATTGTATCAGATTAGAAACCATTGTTTTTGAGAAATTAACACAAACTAAACATTTTAATACTAAACAAACTAGAGAGAAGACAAATATTAAACAATTTGGAATTTCTATTTTCATAATATGTTCAAAAATTTCTTATGTTTTGATGTAGATAAATTAAAATTAACTTTTAAAAATTGCTCTCTTCTTCTGTTTTAGGTTGATTAATAAAATCATTTACTGCAAACAAACTATTTTATTTGACTATAACTGTTCATGAAACAATGCTAGAGACGGAAATTGTCTGCTAAAGATTTGATAAGATAGTCAAACTAAAAATAAACAAATTTTAAACAATTAGAATTTTGATAAAATGTTGTGTTAGTCATTTTTCTGTTCGTAGAGTTTTTACCAAGTAAAACAAATCTGTATAATTGTTTTCTCGAAACCAACATGGCAACTTTAAATTAAAAGATCATGAAGAAAAAGACAAATTACAAAAAAAGTATCAAAAATATATAAACTACGATTTCTCTTCAAAAAAACTACTATTGCATATCAGTCAAAGTTTGTTGAAATCAAATCATTAATATGGAAACTAAGCTAGAATAGAATACAGAACAGCAAAAAAACTGTGTTGTCGCATTACAGTTGTTAATTTCTTTGTCGTTCATCTAAAATTGACAGTTTTTATAGTTACATAGATGACAATCAAATTATTTTTCGATTCATTTAGCTGCTAAAAACTAGTGCTTTTTCTTTTGTTATAAATCTGCTCTTTTTTTGCGTTCACGTGGACAGATAAGTTTTAAAAATTATTAGAAAAGGTGACAAAAAAGGTCAACATATGTATCTTTACAAAAAAAAATCTTTACTTTGACAATGCTCAGCTACTGAGTCTTTTCTGTTTAAAGACAGACACGGAAGGAAGTACAGAAAAAAAAACTTTGCTCAACTGTTTGATTGAAAAGCTCTCAAGTGGCGGTAGAAAATTATAATTAATGAATAAATGGAAACTTTCTGATGTCGCTCAAAAACATTTATTAAGAGTACAATACGCATATTTGACAACACCTTCTCTCAAAAATTGATCGTGAAGTTTTTTTTGAAATTTCAAAATGTATTTTCCTTTCAAATTTTTTGCAAGTTTTTTTGTTGTTTTTAGGATTTTTTTGTTGTCAAGAAGACGCTAGAAGAACTTTCAAAAACTAATATTCCTGGAGTATAACTAAATTTCTACGTCTTATTATTTGTGTTATAGGACTGTTTGCTCGCTTTATTCGCTCAAAAATAGACCGAAAAACAAACATTTTTATCCAGTGTATCTCTGTACTGAAGAATTTTTTTGAATTTTACTAAGATGTTTTGAGTCACGACTGCACTGGCTTTAACACGATATGTCCCTCAATTTTTTCTGATGATTTTTTGTGGTACCTGAAAAAAAAACCTCTTTCTGATGATTTTATGTGGTACCTGAAAAAAGACTTTTTCTGATGATTTTCGTGGTACCTGAAAAAAAAGAACCTCTTTCTGATGATTTTTGTGGTACCTGAAAAAAAGAACCTCTCTCTGATGATTTTTTGTGGTACCTGAAAAAAAGAACCTCTTCTTGATGATTTTTTGTGGTACCTGAAAAACCTCTTTCTGATGATTTTATGTGGTACCTGAAAAAAGCCTTTTTCTGATGATTTTTGTGGTACCTGAAAAAAAGAACCTCTTCTTGATGATTTTTTGTGGTACCTGAAAAAACCTCTTTCTGATGATTTTATGTGGTACCTGAAAAAAGCTTTTTTCTGATTATTTTTGTGGTACCTGAAAAAAAGAACCTCTTTCTGATAATTTTTTGTGGTACCTGAAAAAAAGAAACTCTTTTTGATGATTTTTTGTGGTACCTGAAAAAAAGAACCTCTTTCTGATGATTTTTTGTGGTTCCTGAAAATAAGAACCTCTTTCTGATGATTTTTGTGGTACCTGAAAAAAAGAACCTCTCTCTGATGATTTTTTGTGGTACCTGAAAAAAACCTCTTTTTGATGATTTATTGTGGTATCTGTAAAAAAAGAACCTTTTTCTAATAATGATTTTTTGTGGTACCTGAAAAAAACCTCTTTCTGATGATTTTTTGTGTTACTTGAAAAAAGAACCCCTTTATGATGATTTTTTGTTGTACCTGAAAAAAAGAACCTCTTCTTGATGATTTTTTGTGGTACCTGAAAAAAACCTCTTTCTGATGATTTTTTGTGTTACTTGAAAAAAGAGCCCCTTTATGATGATTTTTTTTGTACCCGAAAAAAAGAACCTCTTTTTAATGATTTATTGTGGTACCTGTAAAAAAGAACATTTTTCTAATGATTTTTTATGGTACCTGAAAAAAACCTCTTTCTGATGATTTTTTGTGTTACTTGTAAAAAGAACCCCTTTATGATGATTTTTTGTGGTACCTGAAAAAAAAGAACCTCTTTTTGATGATTTATCGTGGTACCTGTAAAAAAGAACCTTTTTCTAATGATTTTTTGTGGTACCTGAAAAAAAGAACCTCTCTCTGATGATTTTTTGTGGTACCTAAAAAAAAGAACCTCTTTCTGATGATTTTTTGTGGTACCTGAAAAAAGAACTTCCTATGATAATTTTTTGTGATACTTGAAAAAAAGAACTTTTTTTTGATAATTTTTTGTGGTACCTGAAAAAAACCTCTTTCTGATGATTTTTTGTGTTACTTGAAAAAAGAACCCCTTTATGATGATTTTTTGTGGTACCTGAAAAAAAGAACCTCTTTTTGATGATTTATTGTGGTACCTGTAAAAAAGAACCTTTTTCGAATGATTTTTTGTGGTACCTGAAAAAAAGAACCTCTCTCTGATGATTTTTTGTGGTACCTGAAAAAAGAACTTCTTATGATAGTTTTTTGTGGTATCTGAAAAAAAAAGAACTTCTTTTTGATAATTTTTTGTGGTACCTGAAAAAAAGAACCTCTTTCTGATAATTTTTTGTGGTACCTGAAAAAAAGAACCTCATTTTGATGATTTTTTGTGGTACCTAAAAAAAAAAGGAACTTCGTTCTGGTGATTTTTTGTGGTACCTGAAAAAAAGAACCTATTTATGATGATTTTTTGTGGTACCTGAAAAAAAGAACCTCATTTTGATGATTTTTTTTTGGTATCTAAAAAAAAAGAACTTCGTTCTGGTGATTTTTTGAGTGAAAAAAAAAGAAACAAATAAAACCTGTTCTCAGAATAAAAAATCAAGGCTAATGTTTTCTGACAATTGTCATTTTTGCTCATTAGATAATCGATTCAAAATGCTCCGTCAGAGTTGATCAAACAGTCTGGTGCAAGAAAACTTACCCGCATCCAGTTTCAAGCGTTAACAATCGATTATATTACGATTTTACTACCAGTCTCACTAAAATTGAGAAACAATCGATTTTAATCAATTAATAATCGATTATAATCTCTTTTTTTCAAATCAAATATAATTAATTATAATCCATTATAATCAATTATTTATTCGTCTATTTTTCGATACAATTATAATCGATTATAATTGATTATAATCCATCATTTTTATTCAAAATTCTATTTCGTTAGTTTTGAACAAAAATCCATTATAATCGATTATAATTGATTATAATCCCTTTTGTTTGTCCATTTTTGTCTTCGAAGTTGCATCTAAATTGCTTATATTTTATGCTTTTTGTGGATGTTGGTTCCTATGAAAAATGAGAGAAAATTTTTCAAAATTTTCCAATTAATTTATATTTATAAGTTTTTTTTCCATTTCTTCACCATTAGAGTTGTTTTGTGATGCATATTTTAAGCTTTTATAAACACCAAAACATCAGCAAATTGATTTAATTACATGATTGATTCGGAAAAATTATCTTTCATCTACCGCGAGAACCTTTCCAGTCATATGAAAGGATCTCTGTGAAACTTTTGTTCCGTGGTAAAACTTTGTGTTCAGATGAACCAAAGTGTTCAAGAGATCTCTCTTTTAGAGATTCTCTTATTGACACAAAAATAATAACCCATAAGATACAATTCGAAAATAGGAAAATTCCGGCAAAATAAGAGATTATAATCGATTATCATCGATTATAATTGATTATAAGGGTTTTTAGTAAGAACAATTATCAATTATAATCGATTATAAGAGATTATAATCTCTTCAAAAATATCACGCTTATAATCAATTATAAATCCCTTAAGGACCTAATTTTGCTAATTATAATCGATTATAATTGTCAAAAAATCATCATACTAATCCGTTATAATCGATTATTTACGCCTAAACTTGGATGCGGGTAGTTTTAATGTAATAACTGAAAAACGTTAATTTGTTTATAGCATTTTGGGCAATAATAGAAAGGAAAATTTATGAATGGCGAAAACAATTGAGCAAGCGATATGATTAAACTTTACCGAGGAGGCTATCAACAGTTTAGCCTAAATTCAAGAAAGTTGAGAGAAATAATTGTTAAAACACCATTTTTAGCTTTAATGTTCTTAATCCTTAACATTTTATTTCCAGGAGGATTAGGCTTCGCGAGCGTTATGCGAGGAGAGAACTTCATCACTATGATAGATCCATTCCAGAAGAAATATGGCGATGTAATGGGTGTGCTTTTATTCCTACCAGCTCTCTTAGCCGAAACACTGTGGTCTGCTGCCATTTTAGGTACGAATTAATTGTAGAATATAGAGTTATAAAGTTGATATTAAATATAAATTACAGCTTATTGAAAAAGTGAATTGTTTCATAAAAGAATTTTTTAAATGTTGAAACTAACAAGAGGCGAGCGTAGGAAAAACACCCCAGTTATTTAGGAATGCTTTTTTTGGAGCAGGTTTTATTTTTCGAAGGCTTAGACCAACAATGTTTCGACAAAACAACTCAACCCATTCACCAGCTCAAAGTTAGAGCATATTAGAGCTAAATGCCTTTAAGAAAAATTTTTGGGCCGATCAAGAATGGGGTTCCTTTCAAAAATTAGCAACCAACTAGCAATCAAGGTTAAGTATGAAAAACAGATATGGTGCAAATTAGCTATGCTGACAGTTTTCAAATTAATCGGAGAACAAAAATTGCACTGGTAAAAAATTGCAGGCTACGTCTTTTTTGCTTTAGGGCCCAAAACTAGCAAATTGTTGATTGGGTATCTCTTTGTGAAGAAAAGCCCTTAATTTTTGGCGCTGGAATTCAATCAAAGCCGAATATGATGATCAAACTTTCAAAAAAATGAACAGATAAGTTTTCAGCAGCATATTATTAAAGACCCAAAGAGCCTCCTATTGTATTTCAGCTGCCCTGGGGTCATCAGTGACAGTGATGATGAATCTGTCAAACAGTGTGAGCATCATCAGCTCCGCCTGTGTCGTCATTGTCTACACCATCTTCGGGGGACTCTACTCTGTCGCATACACTGATGTAGTACAACTCATGCTCATATTCATTGGACTCGTGAGTAAACATTTTCTGTTGCGGTGGCGCTTTGGTAGTTATGGTAATAATATTTTATTTGAGCCTCTGAATGCTTAATTAAAAAAAAACACTGCAAAAAAATTGAGCAAAAGAATTTATGATGTAATAGGGTAAAGGTACAAAAATAACCAAAACCACAAGTATATTAGGTTGAAATAAAACATGTAAAACAAAAATTACTTAAGTTTGAGTGTTCAGTATGTTAAATATTTGTTCATCTCACTTTATTTGAAAAAATAACGCCAGATTACCAAAATCTTTTGCACTCCGTGGTCAAATAAACAGGTCTTCATTGTTCCGACTGCCAATTTAGTTATTCTAAAGCAATTTTACGAAACAAATGAGAAAAAATAAGCCAGCAAAACCATGATTTTGACTTCAAAAATTGGAAAAAAAATTGGAAATTGACAAAATAACTGTGATTTTTTAGTGGCTGGTAGTTCCGTTTGCTCTCATGCACGAGAATGTGGCCCCCCTCAGCTACACATCCTCCTCCTGGATGGGCCAGTGGGGGGACAACTCCAGACTGGGACTGTGGCTGGACTACCTTGCACTATTAGTGAGTATATTTCCAACTAAGATTAAAAGTAATGAACGTAGTGATCCAGTTTTCTCAAATTGAGTTAATTTTAACAAAAGTGTCCATCATAAAAAAATTAATATTTTTGTCCACTTTTTGAGGCGAATCAATTTGATTTTCCGATTCTCTGAAAATACTACAAGGAGTCTATTTTGTCAAAAATTTTCTGCGCCGCTGGCAAGTTTTTGAAAAATCAAGCTAAAATGACGTTTAGAGCACTTTTAAAAATATATTTGACTGAAAAATTCCGTTTTTTTTGGCGAGCGCTCCCTCCTCAAGTTTAGTTATATTGGAGCCAAAGACGCCTTTGAAAAATTATGATGTTGATCAGCCAAAAATGGATCTCGTAAAATTATACCAAAGGGGTGACGCTTTGGAAAATTTGGCAACCCCAATTGGAGGGAGGCGGTAGCAGACAACACCCCTTCGGCACGCTACTGATTTAGTTGTTCATAGTTTTAGCTGCTGAAAGTTTTATATTTGTTCTTTCTGTCTGTGCTGTAGGTATTCGGAGGCATCCCGTGGCAAGTCTACTTCCAGAGGGTGTTGTCGGCCAAGAGTGCGAGGAGGGCGGTGATGTTGTCTATGCTGGCTGCCATCGGGTGCATATTCATGGCACTCCCGGCCGCCATCATCGGCTGCATCGGGGCATCCGTCAAAGGTATCAATCATCATCTCTATCTCAACTTTAACCAAAAAATATAGTCATCAACTAAAAAGGCAAACTCGACAATGAAATATGAGCAGTTCAACTCGTTACGGCAAACCCTTGTTGTGCTTGTTTCATATACCGCTTTGTCATTTTCTCAATTACGACATGCATTATTGTTTTTTTTTTCGCTCGATTCATTGCGGCGTGCATTTTGTAATAGTTTTGTTATTTTCTGGGATCATAAATGTTGCTCCGCCCTTAACCAACGAGCACTGCTAAAATCGTTCATTAATTCAGAAAATTATTCAATTTAAGTTGTCGAAATGGCAAAACTCAAAATACGAAATTAGTAGACTGATTTAGCAAGCAAATAAGCTCATTTTGCTTCATTACAGCTGGAATATTTAACCTGGAAAAATAATTCAATTTTTTGACCTCAAGCAAATCCAAAAACGATTTCGAGTCCAATGAACATTAGTTTGATAGAAAGATGCGCGTCAAGCGAATATTCCCTACTCAAGAAAAAAACTTGCGAGTAATTGTTTTTAACCACTTCGAGGTCAATCAATTTGAAAACCAATGGCCAATTTTATAACTTATTACTGGATTTTGCCCAGACTGGTCCAAGTTCGGAGACTTCAAGAACAACTCCAGTCCGCTGACCAAAGGCCAGAGTAAGACCATCCTGCCCCTGATCATCAATCACTGCACCCCCTCAATAGTGAGCTGGGTGGGGCTGGGGGCGGTGTCGGCTGCTGTGATGTCATCTGCAGACAGTTCCCTCCTCTCCGCAAGCTCCATGTTTACCAGAAACGTCTACAAAATAGTCATCAGACCCCAGGTAATCAAAATAATCAAAGCAAAAATATTATTCAACTATAGACATATAGAAGTATTTATACAAAATAGATACACATAGACCGGAAAAATTTATTTTTGTATGGCTGAAAAGACTTCAATGTGGCAATTCATTCGATTATCCAATTTTGAGCGAAAAAAAACATAGAAAACAACATATTTGAAAACAGACACATTTGAATACAAATAGATACGCCCCTTCTCAGGGATTCGAACCCCTCACCAATTAAAGGATTCTCCTTCCGTATTTTTTTATGACATTCATTTTCGACCGTCCAACACAAAAGTTTTTCTTTAGGCTCATTGGGCTTCGATGAATTCGACTATGTTTAAAAGGAGCGCGCGCCAAAAAAAAGTTTCCCAAAAAAGCTAAAAAGCATAATTTTTGACCTGTTTTTCAAAAATTTTGCAAAATGCGCAAAATATTATGTTGAAAACCCATCCCCCCCCCCTCTCGAGAAAATCCTAAATCCGCATCTGCCTCGACCTAAAAGTAATTCTGACAATGTCACTAAAAGATCAAAAATGACCAAACTTTGCTGTTTTAATACTTTTACTTCTTATATGTAAATATTTGAGTCAACATTGTAGCTTTGAGTTTATTATAATTTCAATTTGACCAACAAATTATACCAAAAAATCAAATTACACAATTGGGGATGGGGCTAATAGAAAAGACACGAGCTTACAATGCAGACCTTTCGATAATTCAAATAAAGTGACTTCAATGAGTTACTCTGATGGTGATTTTCAGGCGAAAGAGAAAGAAATGGAGCGTGCTCTGAAAGTGTCAATTCTCTCAGTCGGAATTCTGGCCATGATTTTTGCCCTCAGCATCGACTCCATATTTGACCTTTGGGTCATGTGTTCCGACTTCGTCTACGTCATTCTTTTCCCCCAACTAGTCGCTGTCATTTACATTCCCCAGTCTAACTCCTATGGGTCATTTAGTGGCTATTGTGTAGGCTTCTTCTTCCGCGCAATGGGGGGCATCAAAGTGTTCGGGTTTCCCACTATAATCAAGTACCCCTATTTTGATCACGCGACCGGTGAACAACTTTTTCCCTTCAGAAGTTTCTCTATGCTTCTCAGTCTTCTAAGCATCACAATTGTTTCCTACTTGTCAAAATTTCTATTCGAGAAGAAATTTCTGGCGCCCTCTTGCGACGTGTTTTACTGCTACAATCCCAGACCAAATATGGACATTTCACATGGTGATCACGTGGGCGGAGCTGAGACTCGGGATCCGAACAAGCAACGAGACAGCGAAAATACTAACGCAGTCGGAGGAAATCTGCTTTCGGCCTCAGCCAATCAAAATTCGACAGCGTCGACTTATAGGGAGCCAAGGTCACACAGACAATTACAATCAAGCATCTGTTGAACAAACTAATTCTTGATAATGATTTCTATATTTTGTGCATTCGAAATTTGCATTTCTCGTATCTATTTTAGTTGATCTTCAAATGCTATCATTGATTAGATGTAACTTTGTATATAAAATCATAGTGATATAAATGTTTTTTTTAAGTATGTTGAAGATTTCATTTTTTGTTTTCTTATTGTTACCAAAACCTTGTATAAACCATGCAGTTTTCTTATTTATTTCATTTGCAAAAAATTTATATATACGAGCCTCAACATTTTTCAGGCGGTTGTCAAAGTCTTTAAAAAGATGAGTCGAAATTGATTCTGATTAAAAAGCGCATCAATGATGCGTTACGACGTAAAATATGCATTTTATTGCGCAACGAAAGTTTGATTATTCAACTTAAACTGCATTCAGACAATTTTGGGTTCCAGCTCGAGGTCATTCGCGACTTATGTCTAAGTTTTGAGAGTCGCTACGCTTCCAGTTCGTAGACAAACTTTAAGACGCATAAGGGTCGCTAAATTTTAGACATACAAAAATTTGGTTGGAAAACTTCTAGACATAGAAACGCAAGAGTCCCGCAAAATATTGGGAAACTGATATGGCTTGGCTAGCGAAAAAAAATCACCGTCCAGGGAATGAAGTGGATAAAGTATATTCACATATCAGAACTTGCGACTAAAAACTGTTCACTTTTGCGAAAGTCTCGCAGATCGTGCCATGTCGGCTCTTGTTTCGAAAGACGCGCAGACCGTGCCATGCCCTCTTGTTTTGAAAATCTAGAAATTTTGGACTACTGAATATGAGTCGCGGCTATCAATAAATGTCCGATTTTTTTTCCAAAACTCTTGCCAAGATAAGAAATAGTCGCATGAAACTGGACATTCCTAAAGTTGCCGCGACAGCCTGGACATAAAACGCGGACTCAACCCAGGAGAATTGAAAATTAACCATTTGTTACTCTTTGTTACTTTTGAATAAGGAACAATTGGTCCCAATAATTTTTTCTCAGCGCCAATCGATTCTCATAGATGTCGCGAGGCTTGTTGCGGTTCAATTTTCAATTTTTCCCATAGATCACAGCCAAACTTTTCAGAGTTTCATTTGAAACAGTTGAAATAGTCTAGATTAGTGGCAAACAATCACGCTCACAATAATGTTAATCCCAAAATTACGTTTTCATACAAAATAAGGCTGGCTCTTTCAATGTTACAAGATTAAGACTGTTTCTTATGAGAAAGTTGTAAGATAGTGATTTTTATTACAAGAAATTTGTAAGAACGGAATGTTTCAAAAATTTTTTGCATGTGTATTTTAAAAAAAACTTTTAAAACCAGTTTAAAAATTCGTAGAGTACAATAATGGAATCGTTTTTTGGAATCTATATAAAATTCGTTTCTTTTTGCTGATAACTAGAAACTTTGTCAATATATATTTGAGCCCCACGTACAACACGTCCGCAACTATATGAAACGATTCGTCAAAGTTACTTTTTTGCCAAATACATTTTCGATTGGCAAATTAAGCCTAACTAGGAGATAAATTGAAAAAAAAAAATCAAATTTTTAGATTCGGATTTTTTTGTTCTAAATGCATGCATTTTAACCACTATCTGAAATTTTTCACATGCATCAGTTTGAAAAAATAAACAAAAAAACAATGTATTTTAAGAAGTAATGAAATTTGCTAAACATTGCCCGTACTGTGAGATTACTGTTTTTAATTTTTTTTTGTGCTTCATCGTTTCGAGAAAAATGAGAAATAATTGTGCTAGCTAATATTTGTGCAAGATGTGTGTTTTAAGGAGATTATAAACCCTTTGAAGTTATCGGTATGCTCAAATCAAAAATTTTTGACACTTTTCTGGAAATTTATTAAATTAAACTAATCAATCAGTGACTTATTGCTTGACGTGATGGAACCTGATCTAAACTACATTTTATGATTGGATAATTTAGATATTTTACCAATGTAAAGTATTTAATATTAACCAATCATGATCCATCTAACTAACAACCCACTTATTTGTAAGTGCTGAAGTTACTTGTAATTTCAGCACCAGAGAGATTTGAATTTAACTTAGAAATTAGTTGGACTCTCCCGAGCACTTCAGCAGCCGCAATAAACCAGTATACCCTAGATCTATTGAGCCTAGCAGAGACTAGTTAAACAACCTGAGACTAGATAGTATAAGAGTAAGATTAGGATCGGTATTAGACTAAGAAGTTGCACGAATCTATCCGGCCGAAAATAAGATAGCGTGACGAGCAGACGGTGTACCCTATCCGAAATTACTCTATGAGTTAACCAACTCGGTCCTAACTCATCTGGTGCGACCATAAGTCTCGAACAAGACCTTAATAGCTTAGAATTAACCAAAATAGATTAGACATTAGACAAAAACATTTACAAAATGTTATACGACAATAATTTAATCGAAATGTCTCTACGACTCAATAGATCAGAGCCAATATTCCGAACCATAACAGAACTACCCGGAATTGGAAGAAGACCTCGAACCAGAGACGACATACGACAAAGTAGAAACTTGCCATATAGCTATATGATAGTTAGGCAAAAACCAGAACAAACTTTTATATTTAGAATACTACTGGCAATGAATTTAGATTTTCATTTGCAAACATAAAACCTTGAAGTTAATCTTCAAAATCATTTCAGGCGCTAAACAAAATTATTAATATACAATAACGATTGATAAAAAGATCTAAGATCGTTTTCCTAAAACTCTGCAGTAATATACAAAACATGTTTGAAAAATATTTATTGAAAAATAAAAAATAAAAATTAGTAGCATGACAATAAATGGTTAGTAATCATAAATCATCCTGTTGTTCCAGCTCCATCATCTAAAACATAACAGCAATCATAAACCCACTAATATCATCAAAACACTAAATCTTTCCTTTACACACATTTAAAATTTTATTAAAACTTAAATTCACTTAATTTTAAAACCAGATCATCAAGGCTTATCCTTGGATCTTAAATCATTTTCTACTTAATTAAATTTCAAATTTGATCATCAAGGCTTATCCTTGGATCAAACAGAACAACTTTGTTCTCCCCCACCCACTTAATTAGTGTCTAACGACCTCAAACGTCGATTCACTACCCAACCCTTTCTAAAGACCTAAGACTAATAGAAATTTTTAAACAAAACTAATCATTCAAATTAGGATAAACAGTGAAGAACTTCGGTTATTCATCCTTCACTTGACCCCCCCCTCTTACCAGACCCAGGATAAATCTTAGACTTAGTAAGTTTAAAATAGTATCTAACGAACTACTCGCGTTCTAATTATACCTGAACCTTGTGGATCGATTTACTATTCTCCAACCCTTGAACACAATCACTACCCCTAAGTAAGATTAAGTAAGTTAACACCTTAACTTATACTAGCCACGAGAAAGTAAAAAATCATTCTTCGGAATCGATATACTTTTCTCTCCAACCCTGAACAAACAGACCCAGGTTAAGCTAACCAAAAAATCGTAAGAACTAACAGTTTAAGAAAATAGAAACCATTTAACAACCTTTTGCATCCGTCATCCTAAACCTTATGTCATTTAAAAACCTAGGAAATAAACAAACAATCGTTTTACACAATTGTGAAATAGATAACAAAAAATACGACCTTGTAATCACACCTCATACACAAACAGTTGGATACATTCGAACAAAACGACAAACACTAAAAAGAAAAATAATAACGAAACAAAGACAAATAACACGAAAAAGATTTTCAAAAAATCGAAACGCATTTTCAGAATCAGAAACCAACAGTTTAGACGAACTTTACAAACTAAAAGAATCAATAGATAAAAATTGCCCACTTCACGATCAATTATATTTTTCTGACTCAGAAACAACTTCAAATTCATCAAAAAGAGGAAAAAGAAGAATAAAAAAGCAGTATAAACACAAACCAGTACATTTATACAATTGGAATCAACCAATTCGACACATTAATAATTACATATTAACAGTCATCGAACGAAAAAATGAGCTCAACGCACACCCGTATCCTTAATGTTTAATTTTTCAATCAAACAAGTTCACCAATATGATAAAGAACAAAACAAACAAAAATTTTATATGTCAGAATTTGAATTCAAACCTATTCACAAATTTTTCAAAATCACAATCTCATCCATAAAATATTTGAAAAATTCGAATTCCGATATCATTTCCTTACATGTCTATAACAACACACCTTACCAAGTAACATTACCTTTAGGACTTTTAGGATATTGTGAAACCAACGCTACAATATCACCAATACACGAAAAAGCCTATCGCGTAAATAATATACTCCAATTACTAGATATTTGCCAATCTACAATTCTTAATGAAGAATTATCTATAAATAATATAATAAGTAACGAAAACAGAAATACGGATTATTTCACAAAAACTCCATATTTCAAACCTACATTCAACATAAGTAACTACACAGAGGACCAACAGAAATTTTTAACAATGTTTAATTTCCAACATTCACAAATAACACAAGACGAATTCGAAAAGTTAGCCAAACAGCTAATTGAATATTCATCAGTCTATGCAACATCAAAATTCGATGTTGGAAAAATCAGTTCATCACTACATCTCCCGTTAAAACCAGACGCAGTTTTCAAAAAACAGAGAGCAAGTAAAGTACCGATTCACTTACATGATGAAGTGAACAGATTACTCGACATTTTAGAACAATACAACATTATATCACCAGTAAACAAAGAAGAACAACCAAAAGGCAACACATTTATCAACCCCGTTATCATTCTAGCTAAAGGAGAATCATTAAAAATCGTTCTCGATGCTAGATACCTCAATTCACTTATAGATGAATCAAAATGTAATTGGCCCATTGAACCAATACAAGTTATTTTAACAAAAATAAACGGCAAATACTTTACAACCGCCGATATGAATAGTGCATACAATCAAATGCCACTAGATGAACAATCACAAATAAATAATTTACAACATTTCCCACTTTATTTAGATTGTCAAAATAATCATTATGAAGTTGATCTACTTGGAACATCAACTTTCAAACCAATCCCATATTCTCAATGGATAAAAAATAACACCCAACAAAAACGAACAAAACAACACCCGCCTAAAAAAGACCATTTTCCACTAATTGAAAAAGAAGATTTAACTGATAAAATAAATTTATCAGGA